TGTGAAGATCATGGATCTTTCCTTTCATTCTGATCATTCGAGTAGAAGCTGCAGGGTGCAGTTTTCAGCAGAAACACCACTAAAATATTATTCTGATTCTGTTTATGCACCATGCAGTCCTGTCACCTGCTAAAGGTTAAAAATATTATAAAAACTTCAGCTTTACATCTGCTGACATCCAAAAGTCGGACCCGTCCTGACGTCTATGGGGGCCTGATAGAGAACTGATGGAGGGGACACTGACGTGTGGCGACGTCACATGTCTATCGTCCATCGTGACCTTCCTGATAAACCTGGATCTGGATCAGGACCTCCTTCAGGATCTGGATCTAACTCATAAATGTGTTCCCAAAAGGTTGGTTCTGTGCATCTTTTCATCATCATCAGGTGACTCCTTCAGTCTCAGCTGGCTGCAGGTTTCCAACCTTATAAACAGGACATGAAACCAGCACCAATGGGCTGGGAGGTCAGTTCATGATCATTAACATGCAAATTGTCATGACCACTGATCAACAACCACGAGTCCCACTCACAGAGAGTTGGGGAATGGCTGCAGTCACAGCATTGTAGGATGGTGACAGATGTACCCTTAGGCCCCTCCTCGATTCAGAGATGATCTTTTCATGTAAGAATCTCCCACGGAAAACGTCCAGATGAACAGAATCAATTTTTTGGGATTTCCTTACCTGGATGATTGAGCGTGCATCAACTCCTCATAAATGTGTCCCCTTTGCAGCGCCCCCTGCTGGACAAACTGAACGCGCTTGGCTGCGTCAGGCTCGTATTGAACTTTGACCTCTTTGTTTCTGTGTTTCAGTCTGAAGTACAACCAGCCCAGCATCGTGCACGGGTCAGTATCTCTGCTTCTTTATGTCATGATGTTTGTATTTTTGATAAAGATGATGGTGATGATGCCGTGTCTCTGTAATGGCAGTCGTGCTGACGTGGTGACGGTGACACCATGGTTGGCTCCGGTGGTCTGGGAGGGGACCTTCAACCCATTTCTCTTGGACAGCATCTACAAAAGGAAGAACATCACCATTGCCGCCACCGTCTTCGCTGTCGGAAAGTAAGTGTGACATCACAACACTCCGGTTTCCCTGCAGGCCTAAAAGCAGCGTCTCTGGCTTTACCTTTGACCTCTCCTCTGCACAGGTACATCATGTTCCTGAAGGACTTTCTGGAGACGTCTGAGGAGCACTTCTTCGTTGGCTTCAGGGTGGACTTTTACGTGTTCACCGATCGCCCTAACGAGGTGCCCAAAGTGAACATGGCGGCCGGCAGAATGGTAAACAGATCCTGTAACCAAACGCAGCCTCTTGGCGGATTCTTTGTTTTCTGACTCTGCCTCCTTCCTCCTCTTCCTCCTCCAGGTGACGGTGCGCTCGGTGCCCAGCTCAAACCGCTGGCAGGAGATCTCAGCTCGCAGGATGGAGATCATCCAGAACCTGATCGAGAAGAAGCTTCAGAACCGCGCCGACTACATCTTCTGTCTGGACGTCGACTCCAAGTTCCACGGTC